AAAAATCAAAATAAGATGACACGCAGGAGGAACAAGATGAAGAGGTAGGCCGGGTGTGGTGGCTCACGCCTGTAATCTCAGCACTTTGGGAGGCCGAGGTGGGCAGATCACTTGAGGTCAGAAGTTCAAGAACAGCCTGGCCAGCATGGTGAAACCCCATCTCTACTAAAAATATTTTAAAAATTAGCCGGGCATGGTGGTACACAACTGTAATCCCAGCTACTTGGGAGGCTGAGGCAGGAGAATCTCTTGAACCCAAGAGGCAGAGGCTGCAGTGAGCCAAGATAGAGCCACAGCACTCCAGCCAGTCTGGGCGACAGTGAGACTCCATCTGAAAAAAAAAAAAAAGACGGAGAGGTACTGTACACCTTAAGAAAGAGTCCCCCTTAGAAGCAGTTCTCCCATTTGATCAGCTGGATCCCAGACACATGATTTTCCACACCTCTTCCCTGGGACTTCTGCGATTACAAGCAGAAGAGAGCAGATGGCATTTTAATAACATAGTAATTCCATTAGAAAAAAATGTGACTTAATATTATTAATCTGACAGGCAGAAATGTCGGGAATTGGACTCAATGAATTTAACCAACTTCTCTCCATTTAGTACCAATTACACTTCATTCAAACAGGGAGAACTACAAAAAACATACAAGTAAATTTAAGAGCTTGCTGTAAAGCACTTCATTTCGAAGAAATCTTCCTAAAACACTTAGAAGTTATTTTCCAAAAGATTTATATTTTATAAATTCAACAAAGGGTTCTTATTTTCCTTTAGAAAACTGTTAGCTTTAAGATAACAGTTTGCATACGATTACTCCTTTTTTTTTAAATCCCCAAGAGTTTACATGAGAATGCTAGTAGTTCAGCCCTGAATGAAAATACAGAAAGAGAAAAAAGAACTCCAAATTTAGCTACATCAGAAAACTAGAAAACAGTTTCAGTGCACACACTGGGCAGAACGTGCACATTCAAACCCACTCCGCAGCAGCCTCTGCATTCATTACACGTCACGCTAACATACAGGATTTACGTTAAACTCTACACACTGGAAGTTTTTATAATAGGAGAATGTGTAGGTTATCATTAATTCAAGTTTTTTTTTTTTTATTACCAACCACATGCCAGACACAAGTGATGCAAGCACAAGATATCAGCTCTGTCCTCAAGGAATGGCAGTCTGGCTATTTAAGTGCTGGCACCTGCCAGTCCTCTGAATAGGGAGCGTGCTTTTAGGGACAGTGCTGGAACTGGTGGAGAACACAGCCACACCGTGGTCTGCCTGCCACCTCCTGGACCTCCCCATACCCGCAGAGGCCCTTGGCCTCTTTTCTTTCCCACCCACATTCAGACCCTGGGTAACCTCATCTGATGTGACCTCCAGTCTACCTCCAGCCCAGGCTTATTCTTTTAGCTCCAAACCTGTAGACCCAAAAGCCCACTGGACACTGCTACAAGGATGTCTAACAGGCGCCTCACATTCAGCACACATAAATCCAAACTCGCAACAGAAAGCTTCCCACCAGGCAGGACCTCCCCAAGTCTTCCCCATCCGAGTTTCTTAGCTCAGGTCATACACTTTGGGGACATCTTAACTCCTCCCTCTCTACCCATCCCTCTCCCAACTTCCAATCTATAAACGAATTCTATTGTCTCAACCTCCAAAACACATGCAGAAGTCAACCTCTTATCCACCGTGAACTAAGTAAGCCACTGGCATCTCCTTGCTAGCTTGTTCAACAGTCTCTTAGCTGGAATCCTTGCCTCTGCCCTTGCCCCTCTGCAGTACATTCTCAAAAGAGATACCAGAGCGAGCCTGTTAAACAGTCTATCATGTTACTCCTCCTCTTGAACAAAACCTTCCGAAGGGTTGCCATCCTATTCAGAATAAACACTGAAGTCCTCACTATGACCTGGCTACTGAACCTAAGTCACCTCTTTATCCTCAGCTCCTGCTTTTCCCTCCACCACCCGCTGCACCCTAGCCACACCAGGCTCTTCCTACCTGCCCTTCCTCCTACACTGCTTAAAGCTTGGTCAAAACTTCACCTTCAGAGTGAGGCCCTTCCTGGCCATCCTGGCTACAATTCTGATCCTCCTCATCCTCGGTGCAAGTCACTGTCCCCCAGGAGCCACGCACTTTGCTGCTAATGCTGGTCTCATGTCTAGAACGTTAGTTACCCCAGGGCAACGGTTTTCATCTATGTTGTTCCTTCTCTAGTTCTAGCGTCTAGAACAATGCCTAACACATACCTGACAGTCAGTAATAAACAGTGTATTGAATGAATGACTATCAGAACAAACAGAAACTGTATTACACATGGTCAAGGAAGGCAGAATCTTCAAGAATTCTAGAGATCAGAGGAGGGCAGATCATTAATCATCCCTGAAAGGAAATACAGCATCAAGTAAGAAGGAAAATTCCCCATGATATCCTACAAACATCATAAATGTTTTTATCAGCATAAACAGAGACCTTTAAATGCAAGCGACTTTCCTACTCTGATTCCGCATGCAGCAGCATCCCGTGTCCTATTAAAGTATCATCATGTCAATATGGTTGTCAAGAGAAAATAAAAGACAAAAATAAACTATCACCATGTAACAACATAACTGTTCTCCTAACTTGAACATAATGATTTTCATATTTTAGGTCATGTGATCGACCCTGAACTCTGTTTTTGACCTTAACCAAGTCTCTCATATGATACTCCAGTGTCAAGGTATCGAAATGACAAAGGCAGGGGGGAAACAAATCCTAGGCAGAGAGGGGCGAGTCACCAGTGAAACCCAACCTTCAAGCCACAGTTTAAAGCCTGAAAGCCAAGCAACGAGTCTCCGATAAATCCACAGACTGGACTGCAAACCTCTCTTCCTGTTTGGTGCGCTTTCCTCTAATTAATCCCCACCCTTCACCTATTTTATATATACCTACCCTTCTCTAATTGGTTTATTACACTGTTGTGCCCATCTTTGAGTGGTGACTTTGTTTTAGCCTTTTTTGCATACTCACAAACAAATCAGCACACACTCCCCATTCTGAGCCCATAAAAGCCCTGGACCCAGCCACACCAAGGGAGACCACCCGACTTTGGGTGGAAGACCACCCTTGAGTCCCCTCTCTGCTGAGAGCTGTTTCATCACTCAATAAAACTATTCTCCACCCTCCTCACTCTTCGATTGTCGGTGTAATCTCATTCTTCTTGGACGTGGGACAAGAACTAAGGACCCAATGAATGCGGGTACAAAGAAAGGTGTAACACTGTGGCCCTCGTCCCTCTGCTGGGAAAGGGCAGTTGCCCTACGTGACAGCCCACAGCAACAGGAAGCAGCTGGGGGGATGGAGCTAGCCCCAGAGCTATAGCCTGGAGCAGGGCAATGGGAGTGACAGGGCTGTTGACACTTTGCAACACCCCCTCTTGGGCTTCAGGGTTGCAAGCATCCCTGCTTGGGCGCCACTACCTTCCCCTTGTCTGGACACCAGAATCCACTGCCCCCTTGTCTGGATGCTGGAGTCCGCTGTGGGAGTTGCTTGCCACACGTCTAGCTGTAAGCTCTGCAGATCCCACTCTGGTGTCTGCACTTGAAACAGCTGGCGGGACCCAGCACTCACTCACCCACACACCCACTCCCGCCAGGGGCTGAGCATGAAGTCATGGCGGCCATGGTATCCATGCCAGAGTGCAAACCAGGTGCCACCCGGTGGGCCAAGTAGACAGGGCATCTCCTGCGGCGAGCCCGGACTCAAGCAAGGCCTGGGCAGGGGCCTCGCCAGCTGGAGGTCTCTGGCTGGCAAAGTGGCTGAGAAAAATCCTGCATCACAAACAATAATACCTAATAAGATATAATACAACAGTTGGAAACTAGTAAACAACAAATAGCACACAGCTGCGAATAGTACAACCGTGTCTGACAGTTATTCTAAAAAACAAACTTCACAAGATACACATGCTCCTTAGGGAGTCAGGGCTCCTGTTTCCTCCAACCACCTACCACATTTAAGCGGGGAGCAGCTACAAATCATTTAAACAGATATTGGCAACACACATTACAGTTTTCCTACTCAGATCTTAATAAATTCGTGTTGTAGCTGCCAGAACAATAATAAGTAAAGAATGACATTCAGAATGACAGAATTACACCAGATGAAAATCTTTCTTTACAGACGGGGGATACTTGATAAAAGGCAAATCAGTTCCCAAAAGAATTAATGGGCTAAAACTTCTGTGTAAAAATATTTCTAGGGCTACTGGACAAGCGATGGGTTTGGTACTGACTTAAAACTACCTTGCCAGCAAAAATGGAGCGGAAGCATGAAAGAATAGGCAAAAACACCAACACTCCACAACACACACACACACACTCACTCTCTCTCATGAACCCAAGAAACTAAGACCCGATGACACAAATTCACTGTTTCTCTTTCTCGTCACGGAAAAGCAGCTTGGAGGATCTACTGGTTACTAAATTGAAAACAAAAACAAAAAAGATGCGTATATTGTGATGAATATGTCATATTTCTCGCCTCCAAACTACCAATAACTTCATACAAGTTAAAGAATTTCCATCCCTTCACGCTCAGCTGCGGGAAGGCCACGCTTTCGCCCGCCGCTGGCGTTCCCGGTCCGGACCGCGGCCGCCCCGTCCGCCGCCGCGCCACTCCCCGCCCGGCAGGCTTCGCCGCTCTCCACGGCCGACCTGGCTCAAGGGCCTGTGCAGTCACAACCTCCAGAGCGCTCCGGGCGGGACCAGAAAAGCAGCAGAAGCTCCAGGGCAACCGACAGCCGGTTCCGCGGCGCAGAGCGCCGCCGTCCCCCTCCCGCGCCCACCGCCCACCACCCACCAACACCGCCCCGCGCTCCCGCAGCGCCCGCCGCCCCGGCCCAGCCTGGCCCGCACCGGTGTGCCCAGGAGCGAGTCGCGGCAGCCCGGCCCCGAGCAGCGGAGGCCGATGATAAGGCGAGCACCTCCTGCGGAAAGGCAGGCCCCCGGCAACTCCTCACCTGCGTCCATCTTCCCAGTCCGGCCGCCGACTGACCCAAGCGGCGTCGCTCCGACGGGCCCGCAGCGCGACGCGGCGACGGGACGCCGCGGGGGCCAATCGGGGCGCGCGGCAGGCGGCAAAGAGGATACGGCGCGCAAGCGGAAATACGCGGGAGCCGCCATTTTGGCGTACGGCCGGGCCAACGCGAGCCCCGGGCGCCCTGCGAGCGGCGTGGGGTCGTGTCGCGGGACGACGGCTCGCTCTGCTGTCCGACGGGACACTGCGTGCCATGGGTGGCGCTTCCTCCTCTTAGAGGACCCGGGAGCAGTTGTCCAGGCGGCAGAGGCGGGCTCTGTCCCTGTCCGAGCAGCCATCTTGCGGTACGGACGTGCCCAGCGCGCCCATGTCGCCGTACGGTCTGGCCCCGCTGGGGCGACTCCTCCGCCCGCCTGCCCGCCTGCCGGCGGACGCTGCGAGGGGCCGGCTGCGCCCCGCTGGTCCAGAAGACGCCCGAACCCGCTCCTGGCTAGGACGCGGGCGGGGGCGGGGGCGGGGGCGGGCCCGCGGCGGGCGTCTGCGCCTCCATCTTGCCGTACGGCGCGGACGCCGCGGGCCGGCCCACGTCCCGAGCCGTGTCGCCGCCGCGCTCCCTCCCTCGGGGCGGTCCGCGGGCGGGCGGGCGGCGAGGGCCGGGGCCTGGCGGCGCGGCTGGGCCAAGGCCCGCAATGGTGATCTGCTGTGCGGCCGTGAACTGCTCCAATCGGCAGGGCAAGGGCGAGAAGCGCGCCGTCTCCTTCCACAGGTACGGGGGCCCCGGGCCGCCACGCCCCCGCCCCGGCCCGGCCCTGCGGGGAAACTGAGGCCCCGCGGCCGGCCCGAACGCAGGGGGCGGGGGCGCCGGGCCTCGGCTGCCGGGGCGCGGGGGAGCGGGCGTGGGCGCTGTGTGACCTTGGCCCGGCCGCCGTCTCTGGGCCGGGCGCCTCGGGCAGAGCGGCCGCCCCCACCCCGGCCGCCCGGGTCCGCCCTGCGCGCGATCGATCCGGCCGGCGCCGCGGCTTCAGAAGCCGCACGTTCTGGAAGCGCAGGTCCCGGGCCGATTGTCCTGCTCGGCGGCGACTGCTGCCTCTCCGGACCGCGGGCGGTCGGCCTGGATGTCTGCGAGCAGGAGCGGCCGGGCAGATGGGACCTGCGCCTCCTTTGCTGACAGCCCCCGAGAGGGCTTTCCGGGACGGGGCCCCCGAGCCCGGGACGCGGGTCCGCGCGGAGAGCCTGCGGGACGGCCGGCTGGGGACCGCATCCTCCCGCGCTCCCTTAGAGCCTGGCCCGGGGCTCTCGGCCGCTTCCCACGTGGGCCCCCGCGGCAGGGCCCAAACCCCCCTAAGGCCTTGTGGGTTCAGCCTATTTCAGTGAGATTTCTGCGGATTACACGCGGGAGGCACCAGAACCGCGAACAGACTTTGAAAACCACTTTGTAGATGTTTCTGTTTTTTGTTGCAGGGTGTTATTTAAGTTTTAAAGACGGCAGTGGCACGTGTTATTTATAGTGTTATTGAAAGTTCACAGTATTTTGCTGTCAGTCTTAAATCATTACAATGTATTATAAGAATTAGTAACTTTAGATTATTTCACAAGTCAGCCAGATGACAATTTCCTTCAGAGCTTGTGTCCTAGAAGTTTTGTTGCTATTTTTTGAAAACAAGGCAACGTGTTGCAACGGTCTAACATGGTATGGGGGGAACGGACACCGGAATTGGGGGTGGGGGGCGTACCTTTGGAGTTGGCCTCACAAAGCATTCAGAAAGGAGGTTAGAAGGTCCTGTTGCTTAGAACGTCCCAGTCCATCCTGTTAGGGTTTGTCCTGGTCCACGCTGGCCTCAGGTGGAGCAAATAGCAGTTAGAACTGACCACCTTGCCCCTTATGTGCACCTTAGGGCCTGAGTTTTTGTTTTTGTTTTTGTTTTTGTTTTCCGTTTTTTCTCTTTTTTTTTTTGAGACGGAGTCTCCCTCTGTCGCCCAGGCTGGAGTGCAGTGGTGCGATCTCGGCTCACTGCAACCTCCACTTCTGGGTTCAAGCGATTCTCCGGCTTCAGCCTCCCAAGTAGCTGGGATTACAGGCACGCGCCACCACGTCCGTCTAATTTTTTTGTACTCTTAGTAGAGACAGGGTTTCGCCATATTGGCCAGGCTGGTCTCGAATTCTGGCCTCAAACTCCTGACCTCAAATGATCCACCTGCCTCGGCCTCCCAAAGTCCTGGGATTGCAGGCATAAGCCACCCCGCCAGGCTCAGGCCTGTTTTCTTAAACACACAGCTTGCCTTAATGAAGAAATGGTTATGAAGGATCTTTATTAGGTAATAAAGAAGAAATGGCTAAGCATCCTATTCAGTTTCTTCCTGCACCGGTTGCTTTTCTCCCACAATTTTTAAATTATGGTATAATACATGTAACATGAAATTTACCATCCTAACTTTTTTTGGAGACAGAGCCCCACTCTGTCACCCAGGCTGGAGTGCAGTGGTGTGACCATAGCTCACTGCAGCCTCAACCTCCTGGACCCAAGTGGTGCTGTCACCTCAGCCTCCAGAATAGCTGGGATCACAGGCATGAGCTGCGGCTCCCAGCCTTTCCTACCACGTTTTCCAGTGTACAGTTCATGGCAGTAAATACTTTCACATTGTTGTGTAACCGTCACTACCGTCCATCTCCAGAATTATTTTTATTTTCTGAAGCCTAATCTCTGCACCCGTTAAACACTAACACCCCAGTCCTCCTCTCCCTAGGCTCTGGTAACCCCCATTCTCCTGTCTCTTTTTTTTTTTTTGAGACGGAGTCTCGCTATGTTGCCCAGGCTAGAGTGCAGTGGCGCAATCTTGGCTCACTGCAAGCTCTGCTTTCCGGGTTCACGCCATTCTCCTGCCTCAGCCTCCCGAGTAGCTGGGACTACAGGCATCCGCCACCGCGCCGGGCTTTTTTGTATTTTTAGTAGAGACAGGGTTTCACCCTGTTGGCCAGGATGGTCTCGATCTCCTGACCTTGTGATCCGCCCGCCTCAGCCTCCCAAAGTGCTGAGATTACAGGTGTGAGCCACCGCGCCCGGCCTCTCCTGTCTCTATGAATTTGATTACTCTAAGTACCTCATGTGAGTGGTATCATGCAGTGTTTGTCTTTTTGCAACTAACCTATTTCATTCAGTATAATGTCCTCAAGGTTCATCTGGGTTGGTTGATTTTGTTTTGAGGGAAGAAGACTGGGTCTCGCTCTGTTCCCCAGGCTGGGGAGCAGTGGTGCAGTCTTAGCTCACTGTAACTTCGAATTTCTGGGCTCAAAGAATCCTCAAGCCTCAGGCTCCCGAGCAGCTGGAACTGCAGGCGAGCACCACTGTGGCCTGTCCCTGGGCTGCTGACTTTTAAAAGGAGCATTTTTAGTCCTGGAGGTGAGCTTGCAGCAGGAACACAGAACTGTAGCTCTGGAGTCTTCTGGAGGTCTCCAGATTCTCAGCTGCTTGTGCACAGCCAGGGCTGCCTTGGTGCAGTCCTGACCTTTCACACCCCAGTCTATGTGGAGCTGGCCCTGGTTTTAGCACCCAGAGTCCTACCTTCCAGGCAGTTTGGGAGGGTTAGTTAGCAGTCAGCTTCTAGGAGCTATTTCCTGCTGTCCTGAGGCCATCCTGGCACTGTCTCTCAGCATCCTGTGTCCCCATAGGGCATTTACCACAGCTGGGGAGCAGTTAGTTACCTTCTTTCCCATCCGCCCTACAGACTATAAGCTCTGTATGGATAGACAATGGGTCTTTCAGATTTCTACTCCAGTAGAAGATGTTTCTTAAATTTTTTTGAAGCATTTTTTTAAGTGGATGAATTCAATACAGCTTAGGGTGCTTGCAAAAATACTTGTTTTGCTTTTACAGTTGATTATTTTAAGGGGAGACATTTAATTATTTCTAATTACTTTGTCGTTTGTCCTGTAGGTTCCCCCTAAAGGACTCAAAACGTCTAATCCAATGGTTAAAAGCTGTTCAGAGGGATAACTGGACTCCCACTAAGTATTCATTTCTTTGTAGTGAGCATTTCACCAAAGACAGCTTCTCCAAGAGGCTGGAGGACCAGCATCGCCTGCTGAAGCCCACAGCTGTGCCATCCATCTTTCACCTGACTGAGAAGAAGAGGGGGGCTGGAGGCCATGGCCGCACCCGGAGGAAAGATGCCAGCAAGGCCACAGGGGGTGTGAGGGGACACTCGAGCGCCGCCACCGGCAGAGGAGCTACAGGTTGGTCACCATCCTCGAGTGGAAACCCGATGGCCAAGCCAGAGTCCCGCAGGTTGAAGCGAGCTGCTCTGCAGGGTGAAGCCGCACCCAGGGCGGCCCAGGAGGCCGCCAGCCAGGAGCAGGCCCAGCAAGCCTTGGAACGAACTCCAGGAGACGGACTGGCCACCATGGTGGCAGGCAGCCAGGGAAAAGCAGAAGTGTCTGCCACAGATGCTGGCGATGAGAGCGCCACCCCCTCCATCGAAGGAGGCGTGGCAGATAAGAGTGGCATTTCCATGGATGACTTTACGCCCCCAGGATCTGGGGCGTGCAAATTTATTGGCTCACTTCATTCGTACAGTTTCTCCTCCAAGCACACCCGAGAAAGGCCATCTGTCCCCCGAGAGCCCATTGACCGCAAGAGGCCGAAGAAAGATGTGGAACCAAGCTGCAGTGGGAGCAGCCTGGGGCCCGATAAGGGCCTGGCCCAGAGTAGTCCCCCCGGCTCCTCACTTACCGCGACTCCGCAGAAGCCTTCCCAGAGCCCCTCCGCCCCTCCCACCGACGTCACCCCAAAGCCAGCCACGGAAGCCGTGCAGAGCCAGCACAGCGACGCCAGCCCCATGTCCATCAACGAGGTCATCCTGTCGGCGTCGGGGGCTTGCAAGCTCATCGACTCACTGCACTCCTACTGCTTCTCCTCCCGGCAGAACAAGAGCCAGGTGTGCTGCCTGCGGGAGCAGGTGGAGAAGAAGAACGGCGAGCTGAAGAGCCTGCGGCAGAGGGTCAGCCGCTCCGACAGCCAGGTGCGGAAGCTACAGGAGAAGCTGGACGAGCTGAGGAGAGTGAGCGTCCCCTACCCGAGTGGCCTGCTGTCGCCCAGCCGCGGTCAGTACCGGAGCCTCGCGTACCCATGCTCCCTTCCCGTTAGGAGGGATTTCTCTGCAACGTGGCCAATGTCCCCTGAGCATTTCTTGGGGCGGAGGCGGGGGGGTGCGGGGTGCGTCGCAATCTCCCTGCGCTCTCAGGAGGCGGCTCTGGTCGTAGCCACGCCTTGTAGATGAGGGAACCCGGGTTAGAAAGCAGGCCGTGATCACTGCACCCGGTCCCACAAGAGACATCTGTGTGTATAGGGATGTAGGCCCTGAAGGAAGCAGGCAGCGCGCGTCAGCTGGGAGCACCTGAACGCCTCCGTGGAGAGTGCACAGGGAAAGATAGCTTCTGTTTCATACCTTACACAACAGAAATTCCAGATGAGTTAGGAGCTAGATGGAAAATAAGAGAGTAAACTCTCAGAAAAAGCAAATATCAGAAACTGTTAAAATCATGAGGAGGTTCTTTCCGTTTACGTTTTGATGAATATCCTTGAAGTTAAATCAGCATGAACGTTAATAATTATTTAACATCTATTCAATTAAAACATCTCTTGAGGCTGGGTTTGGTGGCTCAAATCTGTAATCCGAGCACTTTGCGGGCCTGAGAGGGGCAAATCACTTGAGGTCAGGAGTTCGAGACCAGCCTGGCCAATATAGTGAAACATAGAAAAAGATACTACTAAAACATACAAAAATTAGCTGCACATGGTGGTGCACGCCTGTAATCCCAGTTATTGGGGAGGCTGGGGCAGGTGGATCGCTTGAACCTGGGAGGCAGAGGTTGCTGTGAGCCAGGATTGCACCACTTCACTCTGGCCGGGGTGACAGAGTGATACTGTCTCAAAAAAAAAACCACACACATCTATTGAAATACAATACATTCTCAGCTGGGCGTGGTGCACACTCCTGTAATCCCAGCTACTCAGTAGGCTGAGGCAGGAGAACAGCTTGAAACCTGGGAGGCAGAGGTTGCAGTGAGCCGAGATGGCGCCACTGCACTCCGGCCTGGGTAACAAAGCCCAACTCTGTCTCAAAAAAAAAAAAAAGAAATACAATACATTCTCTATTGCAAAAATTAAAACTGCAGAAATATAGACTAAAAAGTGGCAAAAAATCTTGTTTCTTACCTACCTCCCATGTTTTATTGCTTATTGTTATTAAAAATTTGGTGTATAAGTCAGGCACAGTAGCTCATGCCTGTAATCCCAGCACTTTGGGAGGCCGAAGAGGGAAGATTACTTGAGTCCAGAAGTTCAAACCAGCCTGGGCAACCTAGGGAGACTCCATCTCTTTTTTTTTTCTGAGACCGAGTCTTGCTCTGTCACCCAGGCTGGAGTTCAGTGGTACGATCTCAGCTCACTGCAGGCTCTGTCAGGGAGATCCCATCTCTATAAATAATTTTAAAATTTGCTGAGTATCATGGTGCACGCCTGTGGACCCAACTACTTGGGAGACTGAGGCAGAAGGATAGCTCGAGCCTCAGAGGTCAAGGCTGTAGTGAGCTGTGATGGCACCACTGCACTCCAGCCTAGGTGACAGTGAGACCCTGTCTCAAAAAACAAAATTTCCTGTGTAATCTTTATATGTCTATTAGCTCTATTTCTGTTTTTTCCCCCATTTTACTGTTAAGTGCTTCTTAAAATTGGTTTCTCGATACTTACATATGGCGGATGGTTTCCTTTGCCTGTCGTATACATAGGAAAACCATTTTCCTACCACATTGTTGATTTCATCTGGATCAATGTTTGTCAATAAGTATATGATAGTGGGACAAGATTTTCAGGGCCTCCTGGATCCCCAGGGGAACAGCCATTAGCACAACCAAAAACAAAGCCCATTCTCGATGTGTCCCGGGAGGAGGAACGCAGCCACTGAGTGCTGCTAACCCAGATTTTCAGGTCAAATCTAGATTTTCGGATTCTCAGGTTGAAATTGTATACTATTTTCTCTTGGAATTTTATTTTATTTTATTTTTTAAGACAACATCTCACTCTGTTGCCTGGGCTGGAGTGCAGTGGTGAGATCTCAGCTGACTGCAACCTCTGCCTCCTGGGTTCAAGCAATTCTCCTACCTCAGCCTCCCAAGTAGCTGGGATTACAGGCACCCATCACCACACCCAGCAAATTTTTGTATTTTTAGTAGAGATGAGGTTTCACCATGTTGGCTACAAGTGTGAGCCACCGCACCAGGCCTTCCCTTGGAATTTTTTTTTCCCCGAGATGGAGTTTTGCTCTTGTTGCCCAGGCTAGAGTACAATGGTGCGATCTTGGCTCACCACAACCTCCGCATCCTGGGTTCAAGCAATTCTCCTGCCTCAACCTCCCTAGTAGCCCTGATTACAGGCATGTGCCACCACACCCAGCTAATTTTGTATTTTTAGTAGAGACGGGTTGGTCAGGCTGGTCTCGAACTCCTAAACGCAGGTGATCTGCCTGCCTCGGCCTCCCAACTTCTCTCTGAATTTTAAAGCTGTTTGTAGTTATCAGAGGTGATGTTGCTTTTGACACCTTCTCTCTGTTCCTTTTGGTTAAACTTACCGAAGTTTGTCGCCATTACAGGTTTTTCCAAACAGCCAGCCCTTTGTGTCTCTGAGTTGTTGTTTATGCTCATTAATCCTTACGTCTTTTTACTTTCTTGGGTTTTTTCCTTGTAGTTCTGGTTCCTGGCATGTTCCTTAACCCTGCAATGGAGGCTGTGGCTCTTCTGTTCCTTGGGCTATGCGCCATAGCTCTGCCTCTCTCTGCTTTTGTTGCTGTTCATTTCTGAGTCGTTTGTAATTCCAGCCTTGATGCCCCCTTTAACCCTATGGCTATTTAAAAGGGTGTTGACAGATTTTTAAGTGCACACAGATTAGGGGAGGGGAGCTAATTTTTGTGTAGTTATTTTAAAATTTGATTGCATTAAGGTCTAATGGTGAGGTCTGAAGGAGGTCTGCTTTTTGGAATCCTTTGAGATTTCACTGTGGCTCACACAGTCCCTTTTTGTGGCTGTTACAGTGTGGGGCTGGAAGAATGGGTCCTCGCCACTCCCTGGTTACATCGTTCCCACTTGAAGCAGTGGACAGAGCGTTCCCTAGCTTCTTGTCAGGCCGGGGACAGAGCGTTCCCTAGCTTCTTGTCAGGCCGGGCCCTCGGTCTGCTGATGGCCGAGAAAGGGGAGGTAGGCCTCCCCTGTGGTTCTGGAGGTGCCCATTTCTGCTTGTATGTCCAAGAGTTGCTTTCTGCCTCAAGCCCATGCTGTTTGATGCGTAAGTTTTCCTGTTACCAGCACAAGAAACCCGTTTTTGCCCCATTTAAAGTCTTATTTCTTCATTTCCTTATTTTCAACCTTTTCATCTTATTTTATAGTTATGTTTTTAACTCAATCCAGTCTTTTTGTAGAGTAATCATTTACAATTGTGATTATTGGTAAGTGAGAATTCGGGCTTACCTTTTTATTTTTTGTTAGACTTTCTCACCATTTTCTTACTCTTCTTCTAGTGGGTATGTTTCAATTTTTTCTTTTTTTTCTTTTTTTTTCTTTTTTTTTTTTTTAAGAGACAGGGCTTTGCTCTGTCACCCAGGCTGGAGTGCAGTGGTGCTGTCACAGCTCATTGCAGCCTTGACCTCCTAGGCTCAAGCGATCCTCCCACCTCAGCCTCCCAAGTAACTGGGACTACAGGTGCATACCACCACATCCGGCTAATATTTTAAATTTTTTGTAGCAATGAAGTCTTACTATGTTGCCTGGGCTGATCTTGAACCCTTGGCTTCAAGTGATCTTCCTGTCTCAGCCTCCCAAAGCTCTGGGTTTACAATTGTGAGCCACTGTGCCGAGCCCATCTTTCAGTTTTAAAAACAAACATGTGAATCCCTCTTTGTGTCATTGTTGAGAGCTGATCGGTCCTGTGTGCCACCCTCCCTAGGTGGAGGCTGTATGTCATCTTAGTTCCAGGTACTTCTTATTCCTCCATCAAGCAACCATGATTATTAGATTGAAGTATACATTTTACTGGCTACTTCACTTACTATTGTTTATTGTATCCAAATTTCCCCTCCTTTTTGGCAATATTTAATGACTGTTTTTTTTTGTTGTTTTTTTTTTTTTTTTTGAGACAATCTCAGACTGGAGTGCAGTGGCATGATCTCGGCTTACGGCGGCCATGACCCCCTGGGCTCAAGCGATCCTCTCACCTGAGCCTCCTGAGTAGCTGGGACTACAGGCGTGTGCCATCACACCCGGCTAATTTTTTGATTTTTTTTTTTTGGAGAGACGGGGTTTCGCCATGTTGGCCAGGTGAGCCACCGCACCCAGCCATGACTTTTAAAAAAAAAATTCCTATTCCAGTACAATTTTGAGGGGGGCGCTGGTGACTGTTGTGGCAGTCCCAGGGTAGCTGGCGATGGCTCAGACTTTAGAGAGGGAGTGGCGGTGGTGGCAATGCTGGAGGACTGGCTGGGTTCAGGGGGTTGAGAAGCGAAAGAGCAGCAGGCCAGCTACAGGGATTAGGCCTGAATACCTGGAAGATGCTGAGTGGGAGAGACTTTTGGGGAGGAGCAAGAGAGGGGGGTGAGGAACAGAGTTTGAGATGGTCTTGGGTGCTGAGGCCGGGGTTTGAACAGTCCGAGGCCAGCAGCTGGCCTCTGGGAATTGGGCATGTGAGTGTGGGGGTGGAGGGCAGAGGTGTTTGAAGCCATGGGGTCTAGTGTGGTTCTAGGCTGGGCTCCAGTGCGCGGCCCAGGAGCAGGCCTCGCTGAGAGAGGGGCAGCCGAGGTGGGTCTAGGGGAAGGCTGAGGGGTCATTCAGGAAAGAAGGGTGCCCGCTGTGCTGGGTGCTACTCTGATCAGAATGGAGAGAAGGGGGCTGAATGTGCCCCAGGATAATGGAGAGAAGGGGGCTGGACGCGCTCCCAGGGTCACTGGTGACTGGAATCTCACTGGAGAGGCCAGTGGAGCTGGGCGGAGAGGGGGCCAGTGATGAGGGGTCGGGGCCAGGTTTGGCAGTGAAGAAGAGTGAGGCACGTAGACAGTAGC